AAATAGGTTTACAGGTCTACAGGATTAAACTTTCTATTAATTAATTTTCATAATGATGTCATTTATCAAGCTTATCAGTTATATTAGAGTAGGGATATATCAGATGTGTCTTTAAAATCAATTCTCCTACTTCCAAACAATTAAATTTCTCACCAACCTTCACATGTGGTATCTGTTCAACAGGTACATTCTCAACGGGGACGTAACATGTATAGCAGTAGAACATTCTTGAACCACCACACTTCACACATTTTGATCTTCCATTTTGCTGAGCTTTTTTGAGAACTTCTTGAGATGCTAAGCATAAGTTTTGAAGAGGATCTTCTGCGGCTATGCATGTAGTTTGTGACTGCTGTATTTCCACAAATTTTGAATTATCTTCTTCCCTTTCTTTGAAAGATATAGGTGTACTGAGAGACATTTTTCATTCAAATCAAAGTTTAACTTTTATTTCTAAAACACATATTATAGATGCACTAGAAAAAAAAGGGGGGGGGGGCAAAATAAAAAACATAAAACATTTCACTCACTCTTTCTACAAAGAAAACTACTCCATTTAATTCACAACTGTGTGCTGACTCAGGGACGGGGGAGCCTGGTGGGCTGCCGTCTATGGGGTCGCACAGAGTAGGACATGACTGAAGCGACTTAGCAGCAACAACAAATGTTAATAAGTTTTTAAACCACTAGATTAGCATGCTTTAAGATATAATATTAAAAAGCAATAAACTAAAAAAAAAAAATTACCCTTTAAAGCAAGTCCCTCCATAAAAATAGAAGATTGTCTCCCCAAAAAATTATTTCAAATATAAAGTTTAGGTACAAACAATCTATTTCTCAGTGACTATTTTTGTTCCAGGAACAGTACTTTTGTTCTATATTAGGAATGTAATGTTTTTATGTTAGTATCAGCCAGGAATGTATTCAACCCTGCAAGCTCTGACTTTCACTTGTTATTATAAAACATCAAATCACACTCTGACATGACATCAATTCTCAGTCTGAACCTCGAAAAAAATACAAGGTGAAATCAGTAAAATTTAGTTGGTTATGTTCTAAAAGATGTAATTCTCTCCAACATAAATTAAAACACTCATAAAAATATAACTAAACATCCATTAAAATGAGGCATCCACTAGCAATTATAATTTTTTAAATGTCTCAAAAGGTGAAACATATGCCTATAAAAATATAAAGGCATATACATAAAGATTACAGTATAATCTTATAAAAGTTAAAATTTTACAGAGTAACATCAGTGTTCACCCATTCTAAGAAATCATACTGCTTTCAAAAATATATACCATTCAGTCTTCAGGTCTAGAGATAAAACAGTCAAGTGCCTTTCTCACTTAAATATTTCCTTCAAAGGAGGATGATGGTTGCCAAAATTGTTATTCAAATACTTTGTAAGCACAATAGACTTAGACGGAAAAAGAGACTGGGGCCCTCTTCATTCGATATGCATTCCAGAGCTGTAAAATGATTCTCATAACCTAAAGCCTTGGTATTGTGGTGTTTAACTATGAGACTCCAGGCACTTTAAGTACAAACACTGAGAGGAGAAAAGCTGTGACAGAAACAGGAAACTTTCTGTGGTTTCCCAAAACGAAAGTGAACAAAGAGTCCAGTGGAACATAATACATATAATTTACTAACAAGAAGTTAGTGATACTAATTTAATTAGTCATCAGGAGTCTTTTATAGATTGTAAATGCCAGGGAACTTGGGACCCAAATAAAGAAAGGCAAAGAAAAAAGATGTTGGTCATTGAAGGAAAAGTAAAATATACTTGCCAAATTTATTCAAGGGGAAAGCCAAAATACAATAAATATTTTTGATGTGTACTGATTAGGTAAGGGTTTACATTTTGGGTTGATAGGACAAAGAGATATTTAAAAACGATGGTCCAATCCCTTCTTCTTGCCTCACGAATGGAAAACATTATGTGACCTCTACTCCAAATCACTTTCCTAAAAATGACTTTTATTTTTGTCAATATGCCCTCAATGACTGGGAGAGTGCAGGATATTAAGCTGTTACCTTTTCTTGAGGCTCAGATCCTTTTAAGACTGCATGAGAGTCTTCGACCTTCTCTCTAGTAAATGCACTTACAGATGCAGTATTCTGCACACAATTTCAGATGCTTTGCAGGTTAGATTCTAGAGTCCATCTACAAATACAGGTAAAGAAATCTTGGCCAAGATCAAAAGGTCATTCGAAGGACAGGAGAAGCCTTAAAATCCCGGGAAGAGATCCTATTAGTCTCCAGAAATCAGAGCCACAAATCCTTCTCTGGCCAACAAAAGGTCAATTCTCACAAGCCAATGGAGGTCTCATCACTGAACTTAGGAAACTAACTGGTCCCTAAATCGTCTTGGTTTGGCTTTGTTCTACTGTTTACCTGAGGTTCTTAAAAACATTTTTAGGCTACAATAGTCTTGAGTTATCCAGATCATGGGCTTATCCTAAAAAAGCAATTGGAGTGGTCTAATTCAATTTGACTCCACTTAGGTGGGTATTCCAGTAGCTATGCAGGGATTTGCATGTGCCACTATGGGGCCCAGGGTTAGTGGGGAAGTATGCAGTTCCCAACGGTGTCATAAAAGTCAATGTAGTTGCTTGATGTTTAATGGAAAACTACTGGTGAGTTTTTCTGGCGCCTCAAAGTATTCTCCTCCTGAAATGCCTCATAAAAATCCCCATGTATTCCACTTGGCAGTCCATCCATATAGCTAAATGAATTTTTTTGTTGTTGTTTTGTCATTCAGACGTGTCCAACTCTTTTGCAACCCTATGGACTGTAGCCCACCAGGCTCCTCTGTCCACAGGATTTCTCAAGCAAGAATACTCGAGTGGGTTGCCATTACCCTCTCTAGGAGATCTTCCTGACCCAAGGATAGAACCTGCATCTCTTGTATCTCCTGCATTGGCAGGCAGGGGTTTTTCACCAGCTGAGCCACCAGGGAAGCCCCAAATTAGCAGAGCCTTATATAAAAAGTCCTTTCTCTACAAAAATCAAAACACCTTGAGACGGTGCAAGGGAAAGGTCTATGGCTCCCTGCCTTACCTCACCTACACACTCTCACATGTAGATGAGACGGCTACAGAAGAGGCCTGCAGTTCTAAGTCATGGGGAGCTCCCTCCAAAGGTCTCTAAAACCATACGAACAAGGGATCCATCCTGACCTAATCAACAGACTGTTTCTAATGTGTACAAATCATTTATAGCACACAAGATTCAAAACTTTCAAAGCATATATCTTAACATCAATTATGTGTGAAAAATACAAGTGGAGTTGTTGGGGTTACTGAGAAAACATAAAAAAACTTCATTCCTAAGGAACTAACAAATATTTTTGCCTAGATATGCACCTGTCATTTTGGAACTTGGGTTGAAAACAAATTAATTTTTTAATTACTCCATCAAGTTGTACCAATTCTACCTTGCACATAATCCTGTATTTTTAGTCTCAGAGTCAGGATTCTAGATGGCCCATTGCAATCTCTTCACCTCTTTGCTTTCATGAGCTTATTACTAGTTCCAGATACTTAACATGGAAAAATGCATTTTAATTTGGAGTTACCTTTTAGTTAAGCTATCCTTCCTAGTAGTAGTCAACTCCCCAAGAGTAGAATCCTTCACTCTGCAATTCCATAATGAGGAATTCAACAAATACTTGTTAATTAAATCAAAACCATTATGAAAAAGAAGCATTCACTATGCAACTGCTACTGAAGTATCTGACAACCTTTACCTGTAATCTGCAGCCTGGCAGATTTTTTTCTTGTTTTTCCAAAATAATAATGCAAAAGACTCCTAGCTACAAATAAGTTAACTCCCACCCCCACCCCCCATCCCCATGCAGGAGACAGGAGTTCAATCCTTGGGTTAGAAAGATCCACTGGAGGAGAAAATAGCAACCACTCCAATATTCTTGCCTGGAAAGTCCCATGGACAGAGGAACCTGGCAGGCTACAGTCCATGGGATCGCAAAGAGTGGGACACAACTGAGCACACAACACAGCAATGGAACATTATATAAACTCCTCATCCTGTACTTCGGATCATAACAGTACCAAATAAAACCCACTTAAATTTTATTTTCCTATTTTTAAGAACCTGGTCATACATACAGGTCCAATGGGCTACTGTTAAAAATTCAAGGCAACACCTTTTTCTAACAGGCTAACAGTCTATGCCCTCCTCACCACCACTCCCCCCCGGCCCCAACACACACATAGCACCCACCCTGTGGTAGAGATTGTCTTGCCTTAGTTTTTCATGGTACACTGGGGTTTAGAGAGAAGTAATTTTTAAATATTGTGGTTCTGAATCAAGCAGTGATTTTATCATCCAACTTCATGGAACTGGCACCTCAGTGTTAATAAACCTCCTGACTTGTCCTACATTTCCAAGAAATAATTCAGACTTAAGGACAGCCTCTTTGCTCATTACGTATTTATAACCTTAATATTTTAAATACACTGCATGGCACACTATGCCTGTACTAATTTTCTCCTTCGGTGATAACCACTGTCCCGCAAATCACTCCAAACACTAAAAAATAAAGAATAGGGTACCTAGTGGACTAACTTTGCCTAAACAGACTTTTCTTGGGCCGGACTGCACTGAAAATAATGGTTAGGAGTAAAAAAAAAGGGGGGGGGGGACTTTTTTTGAAGAAAAATTTGGACGCCCTTTCCCCAAAGGGCCCACAAGACCTTAAACACGCTGGCGGCCGCACAGGGACCAGGGCCCCGCTCACAAGCGACACGCAGCAAGACCTCCGCCGGGGCCCGGCCATGGAGCATCCACTCCCGCAGCTGCCGGGCTGCGAACCCCGGTCCCCACAGAAGCGCTGAGACCCGCAAGAGGGATCAGAGTGGGACTCAGACCTGCACAGCCCGCGAATCCTCGCACGGTTCCACGCGTCTTCCGCTCCGCCGGAGCCCAAGGTGCGCGCCCGGCCCCGGTCCCGCCTGGCCGCGGCGGAGCGCTTTCCGGGCAACACCAGAGGGAGGAGCCCGGACGTTGCTAAGGCCGTTGCTAGGGCCGGCCTCGGAGCGGGTTCCGCTGGCAAAGGTAACGGGCGGGGACAACCGCCGTGAGGGGTTAGAGGTAAAGTCCCGCCCCAGGTTTTCCAGCTGTCGGTGTGGTGTCACCTTTTTCCGGAGAGAAGTAATGGAGAACCAGGACCCTGCTCCGTGAGGCCTGGCCTCACATCCCGCCAGCGCTGCGCTGAGCTCCCTCCTAAGACTGGCCGGGACCGCGGAAGGGGGACGCGGTTCTCGAAATACACTATCAAGGTGTAGTGGCAGTGCGTTGTGAAAATGCTGTTCCTACAGAACACCTTCCCATTTGCCAATCCCTAAAATATTTTAGTCGTGAGAACTTTGTTCTGTTCCTTTTTTTTTTAATGGCTGTGTCCAGAGGAGTAGTTCGTATGCTGTATAGTAAGGAAAGCTGTTAGAAAAATTATATCTGATAATGAGGTCTACTTTAAAACTACAGACTCACGCAGAGTTGGGACTACTTTGTGCACTTTTCCAATCTGAAATTAAGCATAGTATGCGGGTAGATTATTAAACCATTTTTCCTTGCCCCACCCCGAAGAAAATCTGTAGGGAAGGAATGCATGTTGACAGTTGTGAGATTTAAAAACACATTGGCCAGATCTTGAGCAATGTATTTATTGAATACTATGGATTTAGCAGTTGAGAGTTAAAAGACAGAATTTTGCCTTAGGCTGGGGTCCCCAGTCTCCAGGATCTAATGCCTAATAATCTGAATTGGAGCTAATATAATAATAGAAATAAAGCACACAATAAGTGTAACGCACTTGAATCATCCAGAACCCACCCCCACCTCCCCCACCCCAGTTCTTGGGAAAATTATTTTCCACCAAACTGGTCCCTGGTGCCAAAAATGTTGGACCTTAAGTATCAAGTTAAGCATGCATAGTAAAGAAAATACCATATGGCTAATAAATTATAGGAATTTCAAAAGAACTCAGAATGGATTGGTCAGTGAAGGGCTATTGGCTGGATCTGAGTAAAGCTCTGAAGAATTATTATGGTTTAGTACAGTGTTATTCAAAGGAATGGTGTGGGTCCCATTGGTGGAGGTCCCATTTGTAATTAAGGAAATTTACTGACAACTATACTTTTTAAAAAAAGAAATTGTCTAGTTTGGAAAAGCAGTGCATGGCACTTGGTAAGGTTAAGTATTACTTTGTGGAGTTTTAAATTATATATGTATGCATGTATATGTACACTAGGTCATGTTTATAAAATGCATTTCTCATTGTGTGTTTCTTTTTTAAAATGTTTGAAAGCCACCGCTTTAAGAAAGGGAAAGAGGAGAATCAATAGCAAAGTCATCAAGCCAATAAGTGATTTATCATTTTAAACTAATTTAATTCAAGTGCACAGATTAAAAAGCAAATGATGCTATTTCTTTATCAGAGTGAGTACTGGGTTACTATTACTATATGATAAATTACTCCAAAATATGCTCTCTTAAAATAATCATTTTACTATGTTAATGAGTCTTGTGTTCAGCAGAGCATAGAGGGACAAATTTTTTCTGATAATTCAGCTATGAAGACTGTGAATGCTAGCAGAGGTCCAGTGTGTAGCCTCTTCATGTGGCCTGGGCTTCCCCCACGGTACGGCAGCAGAATAACCAGAACCAGACTGCTTACGCCTAGGGCTCCAAAACCAAGTGTTGCCGTGAACAAGGCAGAAACTACATGTTGTTTTTCTAACCTAGTCCCCAAGAGAAACAGCATTATTTCTCTCACATTCTTTTGATTGTAAGTGAGTTTGAAGGCAGGTCCAAATTTTAGGAGAGGAGACATAGAGCTACTTCTCAAAATACCGTCAAGGCATTTGTGACTGCTTTTTAAAAAACCAACACCAAATTTACTGCTGTCACCAAAAACCCCAAATTTCAGTGATTTAATACAGTAGATTTTTATTTCTCACAAGGAATTCATTGTGGATGTTACTAGTCAGATAAAGTGTTAAACTCAAGAGTGTAAGTTTCTTTTTAGTTTTAGTGGTTCTGCTGTTTCCTGTGACTTGGGGTTCACAGCTTACCTGACAAGAGAAAAAGCACAGTGAATCACATAAGAAGTTTTAGAGGTCAGCCCTAAAAAAGGCATATGTAACTTTGCCCACATTTCATTGGCCAGTTTAATCCAAGGTCCTTTAACTGCAAGGGAGCCTGAGAAATGTAGAGAAATGTACAGATATTGGTGAGAAATAACAGTTTGCCACATTCTAATTTTTTAGCCAAAAGCCCTGTATACAGTCCTCAACCCCTCTGCTAGATTTCATTTTTTCATTAGTTATCTATTTTATACATAATATCAATACTGTATGTATTGGTACATACATACAGTATGTATCCCAGTCTCCCCATTTCCCCCAATCCCCCTTCCTCTTTGGTATCTATATGTTTGTTCTCTACGTCTATGTCTGTATTTCTTCTTTGCAAATAGAATCACCATTACCATTTTTCTGGATTATACATGTATTCATTAATATGTAATATTTTCCTCATTCCAACTTACTTCACTCTGTATGACACTCTGTAGGTGCCTCCACATTTCTAAAAATGACCCAATTTTGTTCCTTTTTATGGCTAAGTAATATTCCATGTGTACATGTACCACATCTTCTTTACACATTGCCCTGTTGATGGAAATTTAGGTTGCTTTCATCTCCTGGCTATTGTAAATAGTGCTTCAGTGGACATTGGAGTGCATGTATCTTTTTGAATTATGGCTTTCTTTGAGTGTATGCCCAGTAGTGGAATTGCTGGGTTATATGCTAGTTCAATTTTTAGTTTTTTAAATAACCTCCATACTTTTCTTAAAAGGAAAATTTTTTTCAAGTATTTTCAATTCTGTTATTTATTTCATATGTCAAAATATACTACAGTTTCTTGATTTTTTTCACTCTCCAACATTATCTGTTAACTTTCTCCTTTAGAAGTCAAAACACCACTCCCAAGTCTGAACATTCCTACTCTCCCCCACACTCTTATTATCCTCTCATATCTCAATATGGTAGTCTCACAGTTTTTGTTTAAAGTAACATTTTTATATATTATTCAACCCTGAACCACATATGATCACATTAACTTTTAATACAACCTTTTATTTCTTTGCCTTAATAATTGCCATGTTCTGTCTACTTATTAATAATCTATCCTCAGAAACTCTACCAAAGTAACAAAACATTACAATCAAACATATTGATTAATCCAGCTTATTTTGTTTTCCTTCTAGATATTCTCTCTAGAGCATTTCAACCTCTAATTCATTCAGTATTGGTTGTTTTTACTAATTCAATACTGCTTTCCTGTGTTAGATCCCTTGTTCCTTTTTCTTTGCATAATCCTTTGTTTTTCTGAAACATATCTTCTAGTAGTTTCCTGAGAAAAGGTAAATGAGAGTATTGTAGACAGCATAATAACCACCCTCAACGCATATCCTATTGATACGTTTTCCTGTGTGGCAGAAGGAACTTTGTACATGTGATTAAGTTAAGGATCCTGCAATGAGGAAATTACAGGATTATCTAGGTGGGTTCAACATAATTGTAAGTGTCCCTATAAAATGGATTACAAGAGGTCAGAGAGGGGAGAAGATGCTATACTACTGGCTTTGAGGTTGAAAGAAGGAGCTAAGGAACAAAGCCGTGTAGGGGGCTCCTAGAAGCTGCAAAAGGCGAGGAAACAGATTCTCCCCTAGAACCTCCAGAAGGAGTATAGTTCTGCAGACCCATTTCAGGCCTCTGACCTCCAGATCTGGGAGATAGGTAAACCTGTGTTGATTTAAGTAGTTAAGTTTGCAGTATTTTGTTAGAGCAGATATGTGAAACTAACATAGAGAAAAATGGTGATTTTTTTTTTTAATTGACTTAAAAATCTGAAACATGCCATGTATTTAATTGATGGGCTGTCTGAATTTATATTTGAATTTCTAGGTTGAAAGTCATTTTCTGGAAATAATCATCTAAATTCTTATCTTTTAACCTCTAATTCTTATCTTTAACACTTTTATTCTAGTTTCCAGAACATTTCTTCAGGTTCCTCCCCATTAACATTTTGTTGACTAGTTAATTTATATCATTATATTTGTACCTTTTATTTTTTCCCTATTGCCTCATAAAATACTCTTTCTTTTTCCTCTCTGGGATGCATTATTTTATCATCTCTCTCTAAGAATCTTAAAGACATTTTAAAAGTTTCCTTCTGTTCCCTGTACTATCTGTATCCTCTCAGATTTTATTTTCAGTTATCTTCTCCAATTTCTATTTTTAAATTTTTATCTTTTTTGACATTTTGCAGCTGTTGCTTAAATATCTAATAAGCCTTGGATTTCTGTTTGTATTGAAGAATAAAGATTAAAATAGTGATATAAAGCTCAATGTGTCTTCATAAGATGATCAGATTTTTCATTGGAAAATTTTCAAACATCTGTAGAATAAAAGGCACTAATGACAATAAGAACAGAAATCAATGAAAGTGAAAACAAATGTGAACTAGAGGAAAGCAACAGGCCAAAATCGGTTCCTTGAAAAGATTAATAAAATGGAAAAGGCTTAAACTGACCAAGTAAAAAGAGAAAACTCAAAGTACAAATATCAGGAATGAAAGTGGTAATATCCTACACATGATAAAAATAATAAGAGGGTATTAAGAACAAATATTTATATCAAGGTATTTGACATTTTTTGCTTTCCTTGAAAAACACAACTTACCAAAACTGATAAAAAAGGAAATAAACAATTTTAATGACTATCAATTTTGAGAAATTGCATCTATGTTAGTCTGCTCTAGCTACTATAATAGAATATTACAGACTTGGTAACTTAACAGAAATTTATTTTCTCACAGTTGTGGAGGCCTGAAGCCTAAAACCAAGTTGCTGTCAGTGTTGGTTTCTGGTGAGACCTTTCTTTCTGGCTTCTAGATGGCTCCTTTCTCACTGTGTCCTCACATAGCCTTTGCGCATGGGTGGAGAGAAAGATCCCTATGGTGTCTCTTACTCTTTTAAGAATTGCACTCTCATTGAGCTAAGGCCCCACCCTTAAGACTTCATTAAATTTAATTTCCTCTCCAAAGGCCCCATCTCCAAATATAGTCACATTGAGGGTTAGGTCTTCAAGGTAAGCCCTTGGGAAGAACATAAAGTCTGAAATGAAGACTTCACTGGATCACCTAACAGCATTACTTATCCAAACTGACAAACAGAGGAAAAAAGTTTGGAAAAAAAACCCAGCAATCTTAATGA